ATTTATTTGCACTACCGTATCCTTTCTGATGTTTAAATGATTGACTATTAAATGAATCTTTGTTTTCCTTTTTTATTCTTTTTAATACTTTTAAATGAAAGATTTGAAATTCGAAAACTTTTCAGAATTCAGGTTCGATATCATTTACGATTCGTGCCAGGTGTTTTAAACACTATTGGCTCAGTGCTAATACTTTAATTACCATTTTATTTAACTATCGAATCTCAGAAGAGTTACAATATTTATATAACTTCCATCAAACCACTCTCCTTAGACATGCGCAGAAGTAGTGTCAGGTTATCGTAAGAAAATCTCTTAACACACATCCCAATACAACTCACCCTTTGCAATGGCCGATATTACCTCGGAAAACAAAAGATCACTAAAGAGGCTGGGGAATATTGTGAGTACAATCAATGCTATTGATTTTTTGTGGTTATTGAAGCTGTCAGAGCAAAACATCGTGTTTTGACGGATTGACTTCTATAAGTATTGTTTCATGATTGGATGCCGTATCCTTATAGATATATGGATAGATATTTCTCTTATGACAGAAACTAATTTGTACCAGGCGTGGGTTTTCGCTATGAAACTCGACTACAGATCCAATACAGATTATTTTCGTTTCCGACTGATTGTTATTTTTTAGAACAACGTTTCAGTCCTGATTGTTTATTTGTTTATTTTTTAACGCAACAAATCTCCAAAAGTTTTGATAACTAATATACAGCGTCTACATTTAGCAACACAATTACTTTACAGTGTGAACCGCCTTACAATTCATAGCTTTTATGAAGAGATCGGAAAAATTATCAATCAAAATTGCGTTTACACTTTATTTTGAAGTGAAAACACCCTGTGTACAAGTTATGTTTTAGATGAAATACTTGACATATACTATATTGGTTAACTAAAGTTAGTACAAAAGAACGCAAAATTCATACCTTTTTTAAATGTGTATTTAATAGTGTATTCGTAAAATTTCTTTCTAATCATGTGAATAATTGTACAATATTTTAGAGATTTCACAAATATTCTTATTGCTTGTCTCAGTCTCTAATATAATCGAAGATAGCAGTTTGATTACGACAACCCTCTTTCAGATTTTTACAGAGCAACTGAGGATAAGAGGCCTTATTTGCAAGATCTGTTGAAGATTTTAGTATTACGGTCCCAGTTTATTCTCAGCTTTAAAAAAAAAAAAAAAAAAAAAAAAAAAAAAACAGAGTTAGTAATTTTCCACCCCAAAGATGTATTAAGAGTATACAGAGATATTGAGGAATGAGTGCCGCGTTTGCGATAATTTATTACTGTTCCTCGTTCTGACAAAAATGGAGTTAGTAATTTTCCAGCCTAAATATATATTACGAGTATACAGAGATATCGAGGAATGTCTGCCGCGTTTGCGATATCTTATTACTGTCCTTCGTTCTGACAAAAATGGAGTTTTTCCAGCCGAAAGATGTATGAGGAATGAGGAATTAATAGTATGAGGAAAGAGTGCCGCATTTGCGATACCTTATTACTGTCCTCCACTTCGAGAAAATGGAGTTAGTAAATTTTCTTCGGAATATATACTGTCTTGGGAGTTTACCAAAATATCGAAAAACGGGCAATGTATCTGCGCCATTTTTCGCATGATTTACGAAAGTTACAGAAATACAAATTCTTGAAATGTAATTGTGATGTGATACATCGGAAGGGGAAAGAAGAAGACAACAGGCATTTGAGAAAAAAGCATATTTTAATAAAGGCTGGTCGTGAATCATTGGATACACAAAATAGACAAAATTCTTTTTACAAATTTGTGTTTCCACTTTGTTCATACTTCTAATAAGTGTCTAGAGATACAATAATTTCTCGTTAAGCATTTGTAAGCTTTTGTATACTCTGAGTAATGTTATTAAATGTTCACATTCTGTACGTTATTCACATCTATTTAAATAAATAACTCAATTTATTTTGTTACAAAATAAACAATAATATTTTATAAACATAATTTTTTTCTCTTTCATAAATTTCACAATGCATTTCTTTAAGTTGAAGTTTTGCACTGAATTATATCAAAGTAAATATTATAATATTTAAACATTAAAATGATATAAATTTAAATATTCAAAATTAGCTTACAGAACTCTCTTAAAAATAAAACGTAAAATCTTAATATTCTTTTTTTGTAAATATTTGAAATTTTATGTGGGATGGTATCGTTACAGCATAAAGTATCCGAAACCTTAAGTCCGAAAAATATTTATTCTAAGTTTTTTAAAAAAAGAAGAAAATTATAAATCAGAAAACTGTACAGAAGTTAGAAAAAAGGCTTTGAATCAAAGTCTGTGAGAGCTTTTATGATTTATTTAATTAAAAAAAAATGATTGAGCAAACTTTTAAGCATAAAAATATCAGATTGTCTCCTGTTATTGAAATTTTATGCATCGTAAATTAAAATTGCTTAAATATCTATCAATATAAACAATAGCCATTATTTAAAACAATTTAAATCACACACTTTAAATGCATTATTTCATCAAGTATGTTATAAAATTTGTATGCGCACAATTAAAGCACAGGTAATCTTGTTTTCTTGATACATTAGAAACTAGGTGCACTTAAATGAAGATTGTTGTAATCTGCAATTAATGTAAATCAAGCCTAAAAAACTTTAGGGAATTTTCTTAACCTTTTCTCAGAGTATTATTTAAAAGTATTTTAGCAATACGATGCATCGCATAAACCTTGCCAACAAAAAAGACAAAAACACGAAAGTGTTTCAATACAAATTTTAATCCGCGTATATGCATTTTAGCTTTGAAACAGCGTGATATTTTGCTCTAAGAGCCACAGATAAAAATGTTAGTTTGAAAATATTATTTTTGTGTTTTGGCTGTATTTGGTTGTTTTTTTTAATTCATTTATTATTTTTAATTCTAGAAATTGTGTTAAAACTCATATCTTATGTATTCAAATGTTGCACATTAACAAGACGCCTATTTCAACTCCAAATTGCATTAAATTGTAGCATGACAATATTATGCAATTTCGACAGCAACCTAATACTTACGATTTTTTTCAATTAATTTTAAAATCTGGCCGCAGATTTAAAGGTTTTGATCATAACGCGTTATGAATTAATTCAAAATCAGTAGAAATTGCACTAAATATATATTTTAATTAAAAATTGCGCAATAATTAAGTCAATACGAGTTATTTTGATTCTGTTTCCTGTATTATGAAAATGGTAGATTTTTCTGTCTGAACACGGATAGCGCGCTTTTGGTTAATATTCTGTCCAGTAGTATATTATTTAAAGTAGGGACTAACGGTAGGAAAGATCACAGAACATAAAAAACCAGTTTATTAAAAAATTTAAAAAATAAAAGTCTGAAAGCTTTCAAATTTTATATTACATCCATAAGGGCGTTTTTCTCATTTACATATACATAGACGTTTCGAGAGTATTTGGGCTAATAATTCTTTAGGCTAAAAATATTTAAAAGCAGCGTATCTTTAGAATTTCCGATAGACACTACCGCGCGCTGAAAATAATTTTTTTCCCTGTACAATGTTGCCATTGCTCGCTTTGAAATCGTTAAGTTTGTTAATCAAAAATTCGTTTAGGTTTTACAAAATATGATACAGATAATAAAACAAATTTGAAATTCAAAACTGGGGCTTCCATGTGCCCATGTTCAGGTGGAGATTTACGTTATTCGAATTTTATGTCTTTTAAGTACCATCGTTTGCGACATGCATTCATGCAAATTCTTCACTACCTAAGTTCTTTAAATATAATACAGGGCAATATTTGGTGAGAAAGTGACACGCTCTTCATAGCGAAACGCCACAGAATGCCGTTTTGAGACTAATAGCCTTCTGGGCTACCACCCCTCTGGGTTAATAACTGAACAATCATGTTAAAAATAATCAGAATATAATCAAAATCACATGACAATTCATAAAACACATAATATTCTAGAATATAAGTTTTTCTATCATATTTTTCCTGTACTTCTCGAAAACTAAGTATAAGATTTACCGTGTTTTAGAAAGCATCTCTCTTATTTCAGAAAGACACCGGTTTCAATCGCGCTTACATATTTATGCTCATCGGCCGTGCTATCCGTAGTCAGAAAATACCTAAACTATAATTGCATTATTTATGACAACATCACAGGAATTGTGTAACCTGCCTTAAATTTTGACATTTGGCATTTAGACAGATTAAATCTAGCTACTGAATTACATATTAAAAAGGTCTTTTTCCCCATGGCAGTTTTTTTTTTTTTTTTTCATTTTGTTTAGTCTATACAACACCTAGATTCTGAAAAAATAATGCAAACTACAAGAAAAGTAGTGCTAAAATAATCTTGAGCATGAGTAGTGCACGTATTTTTTTCTAAAACTTTGCCACTTAGTTGGAAATTTGGGATGGGTTTTTTTCCGTTCAGTACCATTTTATTCAAAGTTAAAAATGCGATAAACATTATTTACAATGAAAATATCTTACTCAGTTCAACATCTATTAAGTTATACACAACGATTATTGTTAAAACTTCAAAAATCGCATAAAAAACCTACATATTAAATTACATTAGCTGGGATAATATGAACTATAAATGATTAATTATATACCACACGTATAAAAAAACACGTTGATGGAGTATTTACACCTTAAATTAAAAACTTTTTTTCAGACTCAAAATTTTTACAAGTTTATTAATAAATATATCCTAAACTTATACACTGTTAAAAATTTGTTTTCATACATTGTGTTACAACAGATATAGAAACTAAGTTAGCAGCACACGGAAGTTCATTCTTTAAAGGAATTATTTCAATAGTAAATATTTAAAATTAATCCTACATCTAAAATTTTAATGTTAAGCTCAAAATTATTCTAACTGAATTAAATTTAAACTAATTATTGAAAAATTTAAATTGAGTAGTACATATATTCTATTTAAAAATTAACTTAATTTTAATTTGTTTAATTTAAAAATTAATTTACTGAATAAGTAATCAAAAATGGTTAATACTACATTATAAATATAAAAAATGAAAAACATTACATTAATTAATTATTTAAATGCCAGGCTTCGATATTTTTATAACTCATTTTAAAAAAAAAAATTACACTAATCACTGCATCTTTTTGTTCGTCTTTAAACCTCGAAAAAAATTTCTAGTATATAAATTCTTCTGCGACTTTTAACAACATTGATAATTACTGTTTAACAGGATTAGGCATATCAAACATAAAATAGCATTAGTTATCATTCCAAAATGCAAAAGATCTATTTCAAAACCCTCGAACACATATTTTAACAATACATCCACGTTAAAATAATAAATGTTGAATTGAGTTAACATGCAAGCAATATTAAGAAATTGATTTAATAGTTATACATAACACACTTAATGTATTCAAAATAGAGTAGGAACATTAATAACAACTACACAGAATAAAAACAATAAGTTAAAAAAGGAAGTGAATTTTATTTGTAAATACACTCGAAGAAATTTTTTATGCAATATGTGTCTGTTTATATTACTAAAAACTTACAGTGCGAAATGTGCAGATTTGTTCATTAAATTTAGTGAGCTTTGTGAGAATTAGAAAGTTGACTATGGACAGTATTACACACATTTATATAACAACTGATATAAATAAAATTTTTCACGTAAATTTCTTTCTTTATACATAAGTACTCAATGCGCAAGAAAATGTCAAAATTTCCTTGCAACTGGCAAAAATTATTCACTCAGAAGCAAGCATTCCTCTGTACAACCAATCGCATTTGCTGTAGACGGTCAAAGCAATATATATATACATCCTTTCTTGCATCATCCTTCAAAATTTTAGAAACTTCTTTTTCTAATGATTTCTCCCAGCTTATTTTTCTATTAGTATATAAACATAGTAATGCAATTATACTCTGTAATGCATTATATTTCATTTAACATTTGTGAATAAATCGCTAGATAAAATTAAATCTTTTGAAAAATTAATATTGTTACGAAATGTACAGGCGCGGTAAGATGGCTTCCCCGTAAAGCAGTTTTAGGGTTGACATAAAATGGCAAGGGAAGGCAGGGTTGCCACTTGCCTTTCGAATAGCGTTAAACTAAAACTGAATTTAGCAAAAGTTGCATTAATTAAATCTCTTTTTTGTTGAATTAAATTTTATCTTTTGAATGCTGTTCAATGAAGAATTAGCGTTTCAATAAAAATATGTTAATTACACATCCATTTGTCATCAATTAAGATTCAATTTTCCAGTGCTATGTCTCAAAAAACTGATATTCGACATAAATTATGCTAATTATACACACATTTTTCAAAAGAAATTCTTGAAATCTTAACCTCAGTTTTTATTTTTTTGTCTCATTTATTTAGCTTTATTGTTTTCTTACTGCAATTCTGACTAAAACAAATAGTTCGTCAAGATTTTTAGTTCTTTCTATGCTGTTTTAAGAAAGGAATTAATTAGTTATGTTAACCATTTGCTAATAGCAAAAAGCTAAGCAGGAAAATTTCTTTTTGAATTCGTTTTTGTTAAGAAATGTTTTACTCCTGAACATTTTTTTCACACTATTGTGTTGGAAGTATCAGAAAAACAACAAATAATCATATATTTTCATGAAGCACTATGAAACAACATTCTTTTATCTTTAGCACGAAATTTTTGTAATCAAGATTTAAATTCAATAAGAATATTTTTCATTTTTTTCTTAAAATCCTACGCGCTAAATTTAACTGTATTTTTCAGATCCTTATACAATTTGGAGCTTAATTTTCATTTCCGATAATATACAGTGAGAGAAATAAAAATTCTCATGGAATTAATCTTCTATACTAGCAAAATTATTTAAATAAATTATTATTATATATATTTAACAAAGAAACTTCTTCTAACCTTCTCATTTAAACCTTCACAACTAGTCCAGCAAATTTATGACTGTTATACTGATTCTTGCTACTTTAACTCCTCCAATAATCGTCATTTGGTATGTTATTTTAACTCAAATCTGGCTTGTTAATTATTTAAAATTATGAATTTGAAGTGATCAGTTAGAAGTCAGAATTCTAAATGCATAAAATTATTACATTTCCATTTGCAATTATAATAATTATCTAACTATTCCCGGTTATTTTAATCCGAGGTTATAATACATTCCATTACTATGTTACGCTTTGAAATTTGTTTTATAAAATATATATTAAAGAATTTTACCAAATGTGAAAAAATACTGAATTAAGAATTTTCCTTTTTGTACAAACACAGCTGTTTTTAAATATATTACTGACAGCATTTTTTAGTAGTATACAGCGCACTATAAGCATGAAAGTGACGTCACGGAAAAGTGGCGTGGCTTTTGACCTCACTTTCTCTTACGACAACCATTTCACTCACGTAAGAATTGCCCTCAATCTACCTTCTTTTACTTATCCGTGCAAATAACATTGAATGTACAACAGTTTCTTGAGGACTCAATATATTACAAAATAATCTCAAAACAGTAGAAACACAAAAATACTATACATATACAATACATACAGTGCTTGAAAGTAAATTCAAAAACATTTGACGATCACAGTTTATGTATTAAGAACACACATATACACACACGCGCGGAAATAGACTCCAAGTCCTTGATTCCATACTTTGCTGTTGTGTTGAATTATGTGATACTAAATATATCACAAATTGGACAAATTATTATTCCATTAGGATTATCTCCAGGTATAGGTTCACAACTTTTAATTACAGTACATGCAATGTTGAATTACATTTCATATCATATGGTAGATTACAATAGAATATTTCATAATGATAGTTATTTGAAACTGGCTTTTCACAAGTCTGCGAACAGTTTTTAAATCAATTTCTAATAAAAAAAAAACTACGTCATATAAAGGTGACACTAAGATTTTAATCCTCGTTGCCCGTGAAATTACGATGAAAGTAATTTAAAGTAATTTTGTTTAGTTACACAACTTAAATGACATCGATAGTTTAAAACTTTGTAGTTCTAATATTAATTGCATTACCTCGGTATAAATGTCCAGAAAATCATAAAAAATTACCACAGAAAATAATAATATAAGTTATTTTTATTTATTTTTAAGGATTAAATCATCTTAAATTATTAGCTTTTACGCTTAATTACGCATAATTATCAATCTTGTAACATTATCTACATTTTTCGTACAGTAGAACTCCAAAGTATGAATTATTAATGTCCAGCTAATAAAGAATATTTTGTTATTATTCATCTTATTTTTAATTTTTAAATTATTTTTCATTCTTTTTTTATTTAAATAATATAAAAAATAATATTACCCTAGTGGATACTTTTAAGAAGCTATTAATTTAATATAGACGAAAATGAATGACATGATGGCTAAACGAAAGCGCTCGGTACTATAAGAGTTACTTACCGAACATTAGTAAATAACTGTTACAGGACACTATTTCTATAAATATGACTACAAAAGCAATTACGTACTGTTTACAGCTTCATTGTTCTTCGTTTTGTTTCCGCACCAATTAAAATATAATTTATTTGCTTTGTATTTATTTTAAAAATGCATGTATAGATGTTTTCAAAAGGCATGTACCGATCTACATCTTCCACTGTTGGAGCTCAGAAGACAGATATTTATTTACAAAATTATTAATTCTTTCTTGAAATAAATTAAGAAATAAAATTGTGTAAAGCATGCACTATAAGCAGCAAATATATATATCTATATATATGAAATATATATAGATATATATTTGTGTTTGGTCTACAGAGGAGCCAACGCTTTAGTTTTACGGATATTTTTTAATATCCGGATAAGCTGTGGTTCCTTTTAAAGCAGATATTTGGAGTTCTACTGTATTTAGATTTAAAAATAATGAAACATACAAGTCGTTAGCACAGTTACTCATTTATATTAAACTGCGTTGGACTTCGATAGTGTCAAATAAAATCCAGCATCAGTTTGGGGAGCAACATCTATTGATAAATTACCAAATATTTCAAGCTTATACCCGGAGATAATTCCTGAAGTATGTTAAGTGCAACAGACAGATTGTGTAACAATGTGTTCTACCTAAAGTCCGTATAAATGAAACATTTATCCGTAAAATGTAGAAGCTCATAAGCATGAAGTTTTATGTCTACTGGTTTCTTCTTGAGGCGAACCAGAAAAAGTATCTGAGAATAAGGCTTTAGCACCCATTTTTTAATTTCCCTTCCAAGCTATTTGGCCTCTGTATGTTATCGTTGGAAATCAATTTTCCAAGACAATTTTAGTCGTGATTTAACTAATTATCCAATGCAATTATCTCGAAAATATCCATCGTCGATTTCAAGTACTGTAAACTTAAAAATAATGAAAATTCCACTGAATTAGTAGTCAATTTATCACAACTGTTACGAAATATTTCAGCTCACATGACATTCATTTTTGGCAAATGCTTATTAACCATTTCAACAGAAACACTAATTAACCATTCCAATCTTCTGAACACCAATGCAAAGCATTTCAGAAAGATTCCTAGACTAGTTATCTCTTGAAAAGCAAGTGAAAATTTCCAGAAGTTTTCGTTTCAAAAATGAATCAGTAAAGAAGGCTTCGTGACATAATGGCAGTTTTAATCACGCAATAATTTGAGTAAAATTTTACGAAATATACACATTTTCATGGGGAATTTTCAATTAATTTATACAAATAAGGAATTTTTCTAATTTAAAATTTAATAGGTTAAAACGTTCAAATGGAAACCACACTTCCAGAACCACAGTTGTATAAGAATTCCATTCAAATACTATCAAAATCATCCGAGAAAATATATAAGGTTTATTTTAGATAACACATTGTTTTTATATTGATTCTTTCCTGTACCTTCTATCAGTCAGAACTATACGTAAATTAAGCTGAATTTAAACAGCGAAGGTTTTTGTAGTTTAGAGAGAAAGCTGTGGCATTTCGCCAGTAGAGCTGTTTACTCTGAGGTGCCCACATGCAGTCAGAGCGCAAGACTTTGTATTTGTGGTGGCTAGTATTTATTAGTAGTTGCACTTGAAGATTCAGTTTTAATAAGATAAGGATAGATAAATTTTACTTATCTATCTTTATTTTATTAAAACTGAATAACGATAGATACTTTTAGATAAATTTTACTTTTTGTTTCTTGAGTTTTAACGTAAGTACAAAGACGAAAATTTGTGCAAGCAAAGGAAGCTTAAAGAAATTTAGTTAAATGGCTACATATGTTTATCCTTGCAAATATTAATTACTGGGTATTACGAACTTTGTTTTCGTATGCAAGCTTTTCGTAAACAAACAAGGTAATGTTTTGCATCAGAAAGAAATGAATTATTTTAAATTCCATCTGCAAACATGCTAGAATTTGAGATAGTATAAACAAATTGAATTTCACTGCGCCTCCTAAAACAAGTGTTGTACTTTTTTAATATGTAAAACTATTTTAAGTATAAAAATTTGGCAACTTTTTTTTAGTTTCGCAGATGACAAAGCTGGGATTTTTTGCTTGAAAAACGGGAGAACGGGCTGGCTTCATGGGGTTTCCGTGGTTTTCCCCATGTGTAACGTGTATAAGAACCAGTTTCCCTTAGAAAGTCCTCCACGAAGGCATCCCTCCCCTTAGGCAGATAGCCCTCGAGGCTTTGCCGTAATTAAATAACCTAACCTAACCTAACCCAGCTCTACTGTTATTTTTTATATGGAATTCTCAACTGATCAGTCCTTAAAGCTTTCTAGAGAGTTATATTAGAACGTATCAATCTAGGGTTACAACTTGTAAGTCAAGGTATTTAAAGATTACGATATTAATATTTCTGAAGTCTGAGAGCCTAACTTACTTGATTCATTTCTTAAATCGGAACAAAATGGCAACAACTTGTTATTCAACAGATATTTAGCTGCACAATCATTTTAAAACTAAACACAAAATCTATTCTTCTGACTTTCGGGCACATTTAGGAGATGGAAAAAAGTTCATGCGGCCCACAAATATATACATTCGTACATAGGCCTTAACTTAAGAGCAATTAAAAATCGAAGACTCACAGCAGTTATTCAAAACTGGGTAAAGTTGCAAAATACATAGTAACAAACATATAACCATTGATTACAAACTATTACTCAACATTATTCTTATGATTCTTGCTGCGTAATTTGTCTTTGAACTGTGATTTTCGGCTTTGAAATGGTTAATAAATATATTCAGCAAAATATTTCAAGGAATATAAATTTACATGGTTTTGCAAAAATATCACGCATTCTAAAAAAGGTGAAGAAATTTATTTGACAGATATTTTCAGATAACTGCTGGAAAGAGTCTTGAAGAACCACGGACACGATGCAGCTAAATGACTCGTGTATGTCCACCTTTCTATAAGTAGAAATGAACACAGCTGCGATTTTTCGTGGCATTTTCGCAAACTATACCTAATTGTTATATGAAATCTTCGCAGTCTAATCGCATAGTCTTTAATGACTATCAAATAAATAGTTATGCACTGCAACCATGCGTTTTCGTTTTTGAAGAAGAAAAGACGGATGACATCAAACCACAGATTCCAGAATAAGAGGGATTCTCACACATGTGGAGCATAACCAAGGTTTTTTCTCTGCAAAAACAGGTGGATCTCTCTAAAGTTTGGCCTGTCGTGTTCGTTTCTCTGCCAGCATTCTTTCATGAGATCGTATATTTCCTTAGGACAACCGGGCGGTTGAGGGAGATACACTTGAAGTCCATCGTTGTGGTAAAAGTGGCTCACGTTTTCGATAACCTTGTCATCAACTTGATCTGCGTAGGGTTGTTGTCTAGCAAACGTAAGGATCTCCCACATGGTGACAGCAAACGCCCAGACATCACTTTTGGTTGTAAATTTCCCCTGAAAATACACAATGCAAGCTCAGAATACATTAACTTACCGGTAAAAGAAACAGAAGTAAATTAATTCTATAGATTAATTCGTTAGAAAACGCATAAATTTTTTTATTTCAGAATAATGGACAATGAAAGGATTTAAAAGTGGAAGAATGATACCAGTGATTTCAATAGATATCAGAGCAACATACCAATCTCGAGATAAATAAATAGGCTAAAGGTATTTGACAATTTTGACACTGAAAGCAACTCCAACAACTTAACTGAAATATTTGCTTGCATGGTCTTTGAGAATAAATGGTGGAATTTCTCATGAGGTTATGTCAATTATGCACTGCAGGAAATAGACTGAAAGTGTTTCTATTTAACTCAGGCACTCGAAAAGGTATATGGATGACGACTTCATTAAGCATGTGAATGGGCATATTCACTGGCCCTTACCAGTAGTTAATCATCTGTAAGTAGTTTAAATGTATTCTATTTCAATGATCTTCGAGAAAGTTCGCTTTACATTATTTCGGTTTCACGAAAGAAGTGCTTTAGTTTCTTCATTTGCTTAAAACAGAAATCTAAGAATGTTTTTATTATTTTTATAAAGAAAATAACACTAGTATTATGCGATTATCTTCCTCTAACCGAAAGAAATCCGAAGAAGAAACTGTCTCACTCTCTCTAAGACAGCCACTCAAAGTTCCATATGCCTTTGTCTCCTGTGGAAGTGGTAATGTTAAATTATATTTGTTTATTTTCTCAAAAATACTGGTTACTTTCAAAACTGTTCGTCTCAATAAGGTGGCCGTCAAGAGAAGGTTGACTATATTCAAAGGTCATATAGATTTAGTATGAAAGTTTGAACTATAGAATATTAACTATAGAAAAATGTTGTTCTAATCAAGCACTTTGTTGCCTTTCAAGTCTTTTCAATCAAACAGAAAGTGTGATAAATTTCGACCTTTTTATTTTAAGGAGAAACAGGCTGACATAGAATTAGTCGATAATAATCATCTGTTGTTCTTTTGTTTTCAAACGAATATTTAACTATACATTTCTCATGTTCTCTCCACTGTGCCTCAATTTCTTGTACCTCTCACTACACAAACCTCACATGGTTAAGTAGAGTCAGTGCTAGTAATGGAACATTGCTTGCCTTAAAGCAGGAGCGCTTTCAGCTATATAACACTATCGCCATCTATAGCTGCACGAAAAAAAAAGCACCAGATATTATCAAAATAACACAAATGAAGCATATAATAGAAATCCTCGAATACTCAGCTTCCTTTTCTCGGCGTAATTTGATAAAAATATTTAAATAATAATTCTTTACGTTTTACCTGAATCTTATTAAATCATGTACAAAGAGAAGAAAAATATTTCCAAAATAAATGCAGATAAACAGTAAATTTACTTCAACTGATCAAATAGTTTCCAATCTGCTCATATTAAATTTATAGATTCCTGATGTAATATTATATAATAAACCTCTATTATATATAAACAGAATCCTATATAATAAAAGCTCTGTACTAGAATCACGAAGCTCTGGCATTATTCAAAAATATACTAAATGACAAAAACTGAATCCCCGTACCCAAGCATATCATCAGCAAAATTGTACAATAAACTTCATCGATGAAAAACCATTCACTCGCAAAACAAATCATAAACGAAAAAGCCAATTCTAATAAATCAAAAATACCGAAAATCTCTCCGTTAGAACTGAAAAATGAAAATCTCTACGATTGCAGAGGGTCAAAATTCATTTTTCTTCCAAAGGCATGACAAAGCACGCAAGAAAACATACATTAAATGGACAGGCAGGCCTTTGATAGAAACGCCTTCGTGTCACAGTACCTGATATCAATAACGTATACTCAAGAGACTCTCCTGCACTTGGTTGTAAAAGGATCAATGTCTGGCTGTTATGTCTGGTACACGCCTTTAATTAGAATGAGTGCTGCTACTTGATAGAATGTTTTCAAAGAAAGTTTTGGTTTGCTGAAGAAGCTTTATGAAGCCATGAATAGATGCGGCTTTTGTATGAAAGCCACATTTCTAAACATACCAATAATTTGCATATAGACCTAAGAAGGAAATCTACCACAATAGAAATAAGAGTTCATCTTCTAAAACATCTTGGAGATACAAGTCTTCTTAACAATGCAGTTCTAGTTTCAGCTAATCCAGAATTAAATGAGTCATCTTTATTTTTGTTGAATTAGCAGAAAATAAAACGCGAACAAATTTGCCTTCTATCTGCTGCATGAAATTTAACAATATTGTTCTTTGGGAAAAACAATGGTAACTTACAGAGATGAATATAATTCCTTGTATTGTAAAAATTGGTAAGTTTCAAGAGGATATGAGGTTTAAATATTATCCAAATTTATAAACCGCAAATTAATTATAATTATTAGACAAACATTCGAATTGTTGATTACCACAACTTTATAACAATCTAACTTTATATTATAAATACAAAATCTTTCGTGGACACTACATGCAAATGACTTCCTTCTACGGCTTTTTAGATTATAAACATTTTTTTGCTTCAGTTCATTTAAACTTATTTCTTCGAATTGCATTAGAGATATATTTCTCATTCAATCATTTCGCGGCAAGGCAAAAATACATAAAAACTCAAAATTATCTTCATTAAAAATTGTAAAATATAGAAAAACCCTAAACACCGAATACAGTTAAAAGCAATTTTTGCAATTAAAATTACAATTTCTTCGCAGAAAACAAGCAAGTTGGTCAGCGGGCAGAAATACAAAATGTTCGGTGTACAAAATTGAAATTTAACTTTTGATCCCTGATACTGACGTCAGTGCACCAATTGACTTAATTCACTATACTACTAGGAGTTTCAGATGTAAACAAATAGCCGCCCCGCTACGCCTAGTTTAAATTATACTTTAAAATTGTTGATAATTCTACAACTATTTCACGCAGATTAACTACAAGCATAAAAACTTTAAAAGAAACATAAGAACAACATAACTCAATTACTTTTAAAGCAAAAAATATGCATTTTACCAAAATATCTCTGTTTTTATACACATTCTTGGTGTGGCCGATTGCAACGAAAACGGAAGGTACACAACTAGATCTTATAGCAGCCCCATATACAAAATTTCAACATTCTACGGCTAATCAGTCTTGAGTTATGCGAGATACATATATACGGACGTCACAAGCAGATCCTTCTGAAGCCCTTTTTCAGATCGTTTTAGAAAAAGGAGTCCTTTATTAATGTCCAAATGGATATTTTCGTGTACATTATTACATCCGAAATTGTTCACTATTACAATACTTCCTTTACTTCCCACGAGGAAGCAAAAATGAGCAAGGGGCTAAACTATGATCTTACAAAAAGAGGCTAAATTATGGTCTTGTAACAAGAGGTTGAATTAAGTGGGATTTTGAATTCTAAACATATACTGAAAAGAAAGAAAACTGTTCTAAAATTTAATAAGCGATTAGGGGTTCTAACTGTATTTTATTACAAAGCATGAGACTGAAATATTGCCTTCTTACAAGATGTTCAGTTAAATGGGAATTTCGGATCAGAAGTGCATACTGTAATGAAAGATAGATAAGGGCTCTCATTGTATTTCATTATACAGCAAAAAGCTGAATTATTATCTTGCAACAAGGTCTAAATCAATTAAAAATTTGGGATTAGAAATATGTGTGGAAGTAACTACTCCAAAATTCAACACACAGTTGATGGCGCTAATCGTATTTCTTAACATAATTAGGATCTTAATTTAGTCTAGCAAGAGCGAGTTGAATTAAATACAAATTTGAACTTAAAAACAGATAGCGTAAAGGAAAAAAATGCTCTAAAATTCGGTTGGAAATTAATGGCTCTAATTTTAAATGATTGTACCGCAAGCAGCTGAATTACTATCTTGAAAAAAAAATGCTGAATCAAACAAAATATGGGAGCAGAAGTATTTATTGAAAAGGAATGGTTACGGTATACTAACATTCAGTAGATAATTAATAAATTAACATTTCTTATTTCATTTGTTTATTTAATCTCTTTCGATACTTGCTAATATAAATTATAAAATTCGCTATTATGGGTACAAAAATAATTCATTTAAGAATAAAACTGACGTGAATTCAATAGGAAATTTCTATGCAAATAAACTATATATAACAAATTTTTCTTTATATTAAAAATGATTAAAATAATTCTCTTGTAATTTATTCGGGTATTCATTAAAATGTGCATAATAACCACGAAAAATCATTAGTCGTGTAATGCTGATAGTAATCTTCGTACAGTAACACAACTGTCTATTAGTAAGACTGAATCACGGTAATAGTTCATTAAATATGAATAATGAACAAAAGTGGATAAGGTGACAAGAACTTGTCTGAGCAGAGAAAGCTTAAATAGATGCGGTTTATAGTTAATTAGAATTAAATTTACAAATCAATGGATTGCAATTCTACTTACCAAAAGAATGCTCTCCCAGGCCATCCACCTAATTGGTAACATGGCCCGCCCTTCTATCCTGTAATAGTCGCCCGAGTACAGGTCTCGGCTCATACCGAAGTCGGCTATTTTGATGGTAAGTCCCCTGCCCACCAGACAGTTTCGTGTCGCTAAGTCCCGATGTACAAAGTTCAGGGACTCCAGATATTTCATGCCGGAAGCTATCTGAGTTGCCATAAAAATCAGGCTGCCATAGCTGAAAATGAAAAAAACACATGCAATCGTTAGAAATCGAAAAGGAATAATAAAATTTGCAACCTTCATGCAGAGGGAAAATGGATTACTTTTTAAATATATTATGCAACATATGAATTAATAATGCAATCTGTGAAAGTATATTATTAAATTACGACAAAAGAAATAAAATATACACGTCTTCTTGTTGAATGCATGATGGTTAATCAAATCTTAAATACAAGGTTATCGAAAACTTTGGGTATAAAACATTATTGTAAAAGCTACAAAACTCATTAAAACGGTTCTTAAAAAAATGTACATAGAAGGCTAAACGAATAACCATTAATAATTATAAATATTAAGGTTACAATATGGGGAAAGAACCTACGTTTCGATGAGTATGAGATGAAAAGGTGAACAAGAATCTTTCTAACGTCTAAGGAACAGGTCTCACAGAACAGCTTCAGCTAGCTTTAAGCATTTTATTCAGTGGTTAATCTTCATTTTTGGATATAGCTTTGGCTTTGGACATTGTTGGCGATACACATTGCTGGAGACTACTGCCACGTTTTTACTTGAAGTATTGAAGCAAATTTCATTTATTACTGCCTGTTTATTTCGCTAAATACACATTTTTTCAGACGTTCGCCAACCTCTTATTCTTCACTGAAGACATGGCTTATTTCGCTACGTTAAACATTTAACAAGTTTTTTACTAATTTTTAATTTAACTCTTACTAGTTTTAAAATTATATTTTAATAACCCAGAAATATTTCTCGATGACCTATATAATAAAAGAAATAATGCGCAAGTGTAAATAGAGGAGTTCGTATTTTATCTTCCAATCTCAGATGGCAAACCTGTCAGAATGGAGATGCGCATTTATGGCATAACTACATCCACAGAGAGATAGAAGTTAAAGAATTAATATACTATGGACAGTTAACCAGTACACTTACGTTCCAGGACAGCAGTCGCTCAAACAGGTTCTGTAATAATCGTTCAGTAGTATTACGGCAGAATAATTACGATATTTGCCACAATTGTAGGCAAGACAATGGTTGGTTGTTATTTGCCAGAACTGTAAGCAAGACAATGACATGTTGGTACAAACTATTTGATTCTGACAGTATGGGACAAATGTAAATACAAATGCTGTATTCCGAAAGCCATTTCTATATCGTCTGATTTGACGTATGGACGATGTGACATGGCCATCTGTTTTCTCAGATGTGACAGCTTCGGACTGCTTATTGCGATGTTACCTAAAAACGAAACTCTTTGCGCATCGTTTATGGTCATCAATAGCCCTCCCTCTTTTCGGTTTTCAATCAGCAGACAATTTTCCACCAGTTGTATTACCTTGTTACAGTCAAATTCTATCCAACTCTCTTGCCTAAAGTTTTAGCGATTCTCATTGCTCCACCAGAATACGCAATAAGCGTCTGTAATAGAACCTATTTCAAAACTTTCACAGAAACAATTTGCAACAACAGTACTCGCCAAAAGTTGATAATTATAATAGATTAATATAAGTTGATAATATATTAATTACCTGACTTCTAGCTTTCCGTGTATTTAGATATGGCACATGTCTGCACGTGCATTCTTGTAGATTTGTCAACTCAAACTGGTAGATATAATACGCGCCACCCTATGTATGCAATGACCCTAGAAAGCTTGAATTCATACGAAATTTAGATTTGAAAAAAAAAGCAAATTCATCCGTTTAACCTTCTACGAACTATTATTCTAGTCTCATAAAACTCTTGTCGAACTCATAAAGTTGGGACGTCTCCTTAGATCACAATAAATTATTAAAACATTCTTGCATTAATAACTGCAAGTACACGTAAAGGGATTCTTTCAAGTGTAGTTGCGTATTGTTGCGGGTAGTTGCGTAAAGTAGTATTGTTCTGAAATGCTTTTACATGGAGGTTTTTAGAAGATGCTCTCAGAGTGCCTCTTAATTTCAGAGATTTTAATCAATGAAACAGTATGAAGTGTATGAATAAATGAAATACACTGTGTGTCTTCAAAGTTTTATGACTGATATTTTAACAATACCAGCAAACCTGCCAAAGGATAGTTGAGAGCATTTATTACTATGACATCTCAGCGTGCTTTTCTTAGAATATCGTCTGTCTGAGATAGAACATTCGGTGTAGTTTATCCTTAGCTTTGATCTAATGAATATCTACTGTCACGGTTTTCAAAGCTAAACAAAGAACAGTAATAAAATTTTGATCTGAAGTAGAAGAAACACAAGACGATTCTTAACAGCCTATGATTAGAGATGAAACTCAATCAGATAAAACGGTAATCACTTGCTTCAGCTGCACCACGGCCACAGAAACGTTCGTTTCAGGAACCACAGGTAAAGACCATGCTTATGATTCTTTCTGATTGGAAAGGAATAATTGAAAAGAAATTTTTACCTGGTGGAAAGAAGATGAATTCCGCCTTTAATTAAAGATATAATGGACATATTTTTATTATCTTCGCAACCGTTAATCGTGAATGTATACTTTCAGTTACAAAGATGCTTTCACCGTGAAGGCCGTATATAGCCTAAAATATTTTTGTGACATTTTAAAAATATATATATACCTGCATCTTGAAATATGTAGAAGAAATGAAGCTAATATATTAAAAGTATATGAATCCAAGTACAAAGTAGCAAGGGTATTTTGGGCATTAAAATAAACATAATAAAAATATATCCCCTTCTTCTGACAATTTTGGGAAATCTGGGCTTTCTTAGATAAAACCCCCTGTCGGCCAGAGATTAAATGGAGTATATATTCGTATTATAATATTTTCAATTTCGTACAAATTAAAAATTTTAACATTTTATACTGGCTTTCTCGATTTCTACAGTTTTGCTAATGCTCATTTTTAAAAGATGACATTTGACGAGTGTACGACAAAAAATGACAGAATTACACGATTTAAATGTTAGAGGTCCTATTCAGGGTAATATAGAATTGAGCAATGAAGTGTTTGCATTCATAACGTAGCAAAAAATGAAATAACCATTTAGAGGTTTGTCAAGTTGATAGATATTTCGTCGTGTAAATGATTCATCGGTATACTTTCTTTTTCCGGGAGAGGTGTAATTCTCAAAAATTACAGAACTCGATTTCTAGAAAAGTGTAGTAGTAGGCCTCAGTTTTAGTACACAACCAACTCGTAGCATTATTTACATAAATTCAAAGTTAAAAATAATTCTAGTTTAATGAATTTTTAGTATGATTCTTAGATTATGATTCTAAAGTAATAAAACTTTCTGAGGATATTAATATTACAATAACATATTTTTAGATTTGAGAACTTAAAAATTATTTGTTTGAAAATCCTTCTAATATAGCATATGTAATAGAATTATCAATAAAAGAATACGAAGCGCTGCTAAATCGCGAAAGAATATCACTGAAAGGCATTAAAGAGGGGGGAAAATCAATTTTGAATTATTGTAATTTATATTTAAACTCCTCAAGATACTTCAGAAAGGATGAAAAAAATTCTCCGATTTCGAAATTAAATATCTCAGTCAGTTGTTGTTGTACGTGAGCCAAACTCTTTATTTTTTAAAATGAATGTGAACTTTTACTAAATGTAGCTATAGAGACCGGCGCAGTGTAAAATGTTAAAATGTGAGTCTGCATTATTTAAAATATTTTTAGAAATTCGAACCATATGTCTACGACCAACGGTTGCCCCCCCCCAAAAAAAAAATGAGCTGTGGTAGTACTTTTAGACTAGGCATATAAAAATACCCTAGAGTTACTTCAAACGTGTAGCCATACTTCTGAGTCATTCTATAATTAGTTTTTTTGTTTTGATGCTATGTATCAAAGTTCAAAGTTTATCTCATTTACACTGAGTATTTTTATCTAGTTGCAAGCGTAGGTTTATACCGGAAAGACTGAAGAATCAAACATCTTAGTATCTGAAAACTCTTTAATTTATTAAATATACTCCTATGAAAAACATTTTTGTAATCAGTTTCAAAGAAATGTCGCATTAGGAATAGATTTCGGAATGAAAAATAAGAAGAAATATACAAAAGGCATTTGTAAACCATTGAGTAAACTTGGGGAAGTAAGACAAAGCAATTTTCTCGATTCGAGTTTCGAGATTTTTTTAAATTCAACTCCGAACTACAACAACCTACCTGAGCACTTTGCTAGAACTGGGCTTGAACGGTGAGGTCAAAGTGTTTTCAGGCACGTGTTGTTGCAAGAACTGGTTTAGATCTCCATTTTCCATATACTCGACGATCATGCAAAAAGGCTCGTCTCTTGTGCAAACACCAAGTACGTGCACTATGTTTGGATCCCGCAGCCTGGATAATATCTTCACTTCTTTGTAAAAATCGGCCCTTGCGTGTTCAGATGCACTTTTTCTTAGCGTTTTCACAGCGACCAGTGTCTTGTTTCCATAGCAAGGGACGTCCACCAGTTCTGGTATTCCTTCAGCTTCACACAGATGGACCTTAGAAGAGGCAGATAACGTCATTTGGACTCGTCTTCTAACATCTCGTTATCATTTATCCGCCATTTTAAAATGTTAGATGGTTAAAAGTGTAAGCTAATCTAATTTACCTTGATGAACAAATTAGCTGTACACATACTACTGTATTTAATTAGAAGCATGCGAAATCAGTAGTATTCATGCCGGTAGGGTGGGTGGTAAGAAATTACAAAAGCATATTCGGATTGGGAAGACACTAAATTCAAACATGATAATTCCACATTTTCTTAAACAATCCATTCTCGCTCTACAGCGTAAGAAAATATAAACTATAATGACTATGAAAAATTTAAAATTGTTTTAAACCGCTTTAAATTATGAAAGCATCAAAAATATTTTTAATCACCAAGAAATATGTACCGAACTTTTACTTAGAATAAGCCATCAAAAGATAAATCGATCAAAAGATAATAATATGAAATCACTCACGCACCCCGGAGTATCATAGGGAGGAATTGATGAACATGCTATATTAAAAAAAATATTTGCATGATTTTTTTGTTAGTTTTTTTGCGACGTAAACTATAAAAAATTACCCACTTCTACTCGAGTTGCCTCAGTCTAGTTCAAACTATTAACTAAATAACAGACAATAGTTTAGAAAATGCAAGATTTCATAGTAATAAATGATATCAATTACCATCAAGTTCAGATTTCAGAGTAATAAAAGACTTCAATTACCATTTTACAGATTTCCTGGAATTTATTTTCAAAAATTAAACTTTTATAGATATACTCTGCATATATTTTTCAGAGGTAATTACTGCTGGTAAGAATATCGATTTCGAAAGCTGTTTTCCGCTTGTTTAGAGTTTTCTAATGGCATTAGTAAATTATAACTTTAGACCATATGCCATAAAACTAATTAAGCTTTCTATATAATACGTACAGCCAGTCTGAATATTAGCTAATTTGTAAAAACAAAAAGCACAAATGATTAAATTGTTCTGCCAGAAATAAAACGACTAATGTTTTATAAACCAACCACATTAGTCTCGAAATGAAAATCAATCTCAGAACAGCTGGTTATCCTTTTAAAATATTAGTTGAATATGAAACCTTGATAAACCGTGATCCAGATATTTCAAATTAAATAAACAACAGAAATTTATAATTGACAATTTAAGCATATCAGTGTCAGACAATAATTCAGGGCACTTGTTCAAAACATTGCAGGCAAATTTAGCCGGATTCATGGATAGCATGGTTTAGTATGCTTTGAAGTATGCTTTTAAAGTCAGTTGCTAAATACTTGACTATGAACCCAAGCCCTGCGGTGAATTAGAATTATCATCAACAAACAAGACCCTACAATAACACATGAAAACCTAGATAGCGAAATAATACAAATTAAATTCCATTAAATACACGTTTGCGATGCTCCTATACGACATTTCTTTGAAATTTATATTTACGCAGCAAAAGGAAAAGAAAATACCAATCATTTTTTAGACTGATTAATCGATATTTTGTTATTATTATTCCTATGCAGTTAGTATTTATAAGCAAAACCATTCTAAGCTAGTTAAAATGGCGGATAAATGGCAGACATCATGCAAGAGAAAAAAAATGTAATTAGACTATTTTAATTAATTGAGATAACAATAAAAGAACACTACTTACTTTTTCTAAATTCATCATAAATGGGAAGTCATTATGGTCAGTACTTATAAAATACGATCGAAATTTTATAGCTATTTTGGCATGTTTGTTAATAGTATCACATCTTGAGTTATATAATGAATTATTAATATATATAACGAAAGTTAAGGTTTTTGAAATAATGGCTATGTTTTATTTTAATATGTTTACTATAATATCATTTTACACTTCTTAAGAATGCAAAAGACCTTATAAGCATTGTTTTGCATCCAAAGAAATTTTTCCTTTTTTACAGTTTATAGTATCGGAATCAAACATAACACTAACCTTTCACTTTCACCCACTAAGACTTAACGAAATAAAGAAACTAAACTCCTGCTTGCTAGAAAATTACACTTGGAATTCATATTATTTTTATATGTACTTTAACAAACAACATTGTAAAATCTAGGATATGGCAATGTGGTAAGCAAATATTTTTCTCGTCCGTTAAGATTTCATTTACTATAACAGTTTTCATCAGGTAGTGATTCAACATACAGGCAATGTCTAGCTTAATTTGTTGGCGCATAATTAGGTTAGCATTTTGAAAAAAACTTAAAGGTATTTCTCCCGCCTTCGTAGTGTAGTGGTCTGAACGCTGGGCGCATATTCCTGAGGTCCGTGGTTCGATTCCCGGCGAAGGCGCTGCTCATTTTAAAGCCCTGCTTACCAAAAAAATCCTAATGTCTCTACAAATTCTATCTATTTAAACTGTTAGCAAAAATATGTTTATTCCTAAGAAGAATGACCTATGTCTTATCGCCTTCGATATTGATAGAGTTGTATTGAAATGTATGCCAAACTTGTATTTTTTCTTAGTCTTAAAATTTTACATTGGCGTGTTTGTCTTTCATTTAATTGACCAATTTTACTGATGTGACAGACATTTATTTGGCAACGGAAAGATTCATTCGGACATATTGTAAAGCTGACTGATACCACAGTGGAATGAAAAGAGGGATAATAATTATTTATAACAAGACAGACATATTACAACATGACTGGACAGGAAAAAGCTGATTGATGCCACAGTGGAATTAAAGACAAACATATTACAACAGACACACTTTCCAAGAATATATCAATTCAAATTTTCCAAAATGATTTATAGCACTTTTAGACGAAGAGTCGAATAGCCATTTTAGATCAATACCAATGGTTCCAATAGATATCAACCATTGTTTTGGCCTTCAAATTACCTAATAAGCAGGGATGTGTACAGGATTTTTCTGGCTCTTGAATGAGAAAATAGATCCTGAAACACATCAAGACTATACCTTAAAACTGACAACCTTGAAACTTCAGTTCGAAATTACTACTATTAAATGGTCGTAAATCTTGAGCCTAAATGTATCGTCACTAGATACAAGACATTATTTACCTGTATGCTAGCAAAATAGATACTTCATTTCTCTATGCAGCGCAAAGGTTTACAAACTTAGGCTACTATCTGTTTAAAATATTTTTAATTGCTCTAAAATAATTAAATATTTATTAAAGATTTTAATTATTTTCTTCTTTTTAATAAATATTCTGAAAAATGCTAGAAAATCACCCATAGCATACTAAATATCCTACTTATCCATAGCTTAATACCGTAATCAATAGTTCTTTAGCGAAGAAATCTACACATAGCTTTAATATTCATTATTTATTCGAGAGTCAGTTTCGTATCGAGCTCAGCTTTAGTTCTCTCAGGATTAATTTACAAACACTTGAGCACAATCGCTAAGTACAACATCAGAGAGAAACCCAAATTTGCTGGAGCTCCATATCAAATCCATTCATCTTTAATCAATAAAATATTACTATAGATAGCAAATTTTGTTCTTTCTCTAACAATACAGTTCACTGCGGAGAGATTTCGTAGTAAAAAATAATCGTAATTTCATAGTAAGGGACTAGTAAGGACTAGTAAGAAATAGTCATCTCCTCGATTAGTTTGTCCCAATTAATTGTTTTTAATACAAAATATCATGTGAAATGAAGAGGTCTGAAGCAGAGGGTTCCACATGAGAACCTGACACTGAAGATTGGCTGACGCTTACCTCCCCAAACTGTCCTTCTCCCAGCTTTTCCATGTAGTGCAGACGATGCCGTGGTATCTCCCTCACAGGGCTGTCATCTCGGCTGAGCAGATCGACGTTAGGCACTGCATAAACCGTGTTTCCGCTGACACCCTGGATGTTAGGCATCTTGACAACGTCTGTGGCAGCATAGTATCTTTCCGAGGGCGGCTTCTGGAGGGGTTTTGGCAAGGTCTGAGGAAAAGCAGGCTTTGTCGAAGGGGTTGGTGGAGGATGCACTGGTATCACTGGTGTGGGAGTGTTGCTCTTTGTGACATCTGGGACTGCATATTCTCTCGAGGTTGTCGATTCTGAAAATATTCAGAAAGCTTTATTAAAACACCGGTGCAGAGCAAGCAATAGTTTCTTATTCAGACATGATTAAATATTTTTCATTGCGCCTTTATTAGCATGTTAAACAACAGGTAGATCATAATTGTCATGGGGACTAAGTACGTACTTCGCAGACGTAGGTCATGGCGTATGTCTGTTGACTGGAGCACAAAAGCCATTAGTTTTGCTGAATGTGAAAGTGAAAGCTTTGTGGACTTCCCATGTAATGAGTCGTGAGTTCTGAGTACCTCATAGTCTTTTATAGTTTTATAGAATCTATAGTGGTTTCACTAGCCCTGCAGAAAAGGCAGGGTTTCCTAAACGTTTAACGTAGAAATGCACTTTTTCTTTCATCATTCTAATGGACATCTTGCACCGCCACCGTATATTAAAATTGACATTATTTCGCAACAACGAAGGTACATCTATTTTTGAAAGTTTGAACAACAAAAATCTTTATGACGGAAAAGAATAGCTCCATTGATATGTTTTAAATTCAAACTACACTCTGATACATCATTTTCCTTATTTTATTAGATATTTTCAAATCTGTCTAGTTTTGAAAAGAAACTTGTATTAAATTTAACTTGCATACAAATAATCTCAAGTGGTTAAAATTAACTCATTAATAAAGAGCATTAAAAGTCAATTTTGAATAAATATCACTTCGGCAGGATTTATTTTATATTCTCTACATTACTTTAGATATGGAGATTTTCAACTTTTCTTTGAGCAAAGTTTGCTTTAAGCCCAAACTGGTAATGAATTTGTTTTCGGCAGTTTAAGATTAGCTACAGCAGTTACAAAGGAGAGTTAAGTCTAGATCTTGCAAACTAAAGAAATGAACAATAGTTACCATTACTGTATGTTCCTGGATATGGTATCTTGAAGTCCTGAGGTTCTTGATAGAGCAGTTTATCGGGATCTGCATCATCTAAGACGACTTGATGGCCGTAGATACTTCCATTAGACTGACAAGCCAAAGGAGAACAAGGTGAGTAACTCAAACCTAAATCCTACGAAATTTATTTAAAATCTAAAAATCTTATATCTTAAGTTCTACAAAATAACGAGTTTTTGATAATTTTAATATTCCTGTTCGTTGTATTTAACCAGTAGTATCGGCGCAGCTACAGAAGCGGAAGTACCGTCACGAGCCATGCTTACAAAAGGGCTTGGTCTCAGAAGTGGAAGCGAACTTCTGTCGAAGTAGCTGCGCCATTACTATCAGGCTGATCGGAAAGTAATGCAGACTTGACTTGCTAAAATTCAAGAGCTTTTAGAAGGAAGATTGAAGATGGTACTTCCCATTTTATAAATTTGAATGCTTTCCCTGCTACAATCTGAATATTTTAGAAAATTTTTTCTGCCTTTTATTTACTGCCTTTTTATTAGACGTGATGTTTTAACAATAAAATTTTTAAAAAATTCAACAAACTAAACATTTCAGTCGATTATGAAAGTAAACGTATATCCCCATATAAACGGATATCTGATCTTTTCATTGGGGACTTTTCTTCAAAATCAGAAGTTTAAAAAACGCTATATATTTGTGTTTTTCTAAAATTGGAATAAAAAATAATCATCGTAAATACTATTCTTGAATTATGACAGCAGGATACTTTTTAATTAATATACATTTGCTTAAAATTTACTTTTACAAATCTGCATTATGAACACATCATCATAATAAATTTACCATCATAAAAAACATATTCAAAATATAATTTTAATTTAAAATAAAAAAGTGTTCCAATAACACGAATAAAAGTATTAAGAGAAACTTTACAAAATAAAGACAATTAAAGTTTAATAGGTGATTTCATAATCATTTTATTCAAAAAAAATTCTGATCAAATGCATCATTTCAGTGATATATATATATATATAGAGAGAGAGAGAGAGAGATGTTTTATATTCATTTAATATTTATATTTTCGTATCACAAAACCTAACTTTCCGCTTTAATTAACCCACATAATGAACAATTTTCCTTTCCATTGAGAATCTGACAATAACAAAATATTCATATTTAAGTACTCTATTGGAATTCCACCAGTTATGTTCATTCATATTCAAACTCTATCAATTATACTTTATATCTGTCATACGGATGCAAAACCTAATTATGCTTTGTATGGATATAAAACATAATTTGTATATTATATGAATAATTACATATTACATTTTACTTTATGCATTATGGATAACAGTACAATATATTACATTAATAGATAATTAGAAATTATATTGTATTTTAGTCATAACTCTTCTGATATAAAATTCTATTTCATACATATATCGTGTTAGAAAACCCACCCTTTAACAAGCGTCTAGAAGCAGAAGAGAAGTGGCAAGAGATGGGGTTGCGACGTAATTACCTTTTATACCAAATTCCATTTCAGATCACATGACAGATTAATGTCCAGATCTTGGGTTCAGATTTCATCGATAAGCGTGCATTAGAACTGCAGGGAGTTCAGTTATAAAAAGTATTGCTCTGTTACTTTTAGAATGAAAGCGGAAGTTAAAGGGCTATTATTAATTTATTATTTGAAAGATAGATATTTTATATATATATTGTGATAGCCCTTGGGTTTCACAGTGCTTGGGATTGTACTGATTCGCACTCCCTTTTCATGATAAATAAAGCAGATCCTATTTTAAGATGTACTGTGATCAGAAAAGAGAAAGCAACTTGTTATGTTAATTTTCTCAGAAGGTAGTGGTTGAAACCATGGTATGTTCCTTAGGGATTTTGAACCAATGGCAAGTATGCTAATGACAAAGATCATGCTTTCAGGATTCTCAATTTTGATAAGACATTGGGGATGGACATGGTACTATATTAAAATAGTAATTTTTTTTTAATTTAATGTAAAGATGTACGGAAGTGTTTCATCACCTGTTACACTCCCATCCAGCATGACTACCACTGACGAAGTGCGTTAGCGTTCAAGATGCCAGGTCAAAAATCTGATAGAAAAGCTGTCTAAAAGTTGGTCAGAAGTCACAGAAAGTGATAGATTACTAAATTAACCTATTCCCTGCTGTGATACCCATTCGAGGATTTTCCGCGCTCGCCTAACTGGTGATTACAGTTGATATATTGCTTTACAAATTGTTTAGTTGAATTCATTTCACTCTGGTAGTTTCAGTGTATTCTTTTATTTTCTGGATACGTGTAACTGAATATTCATCTTATTCATTTGCGAATTCTTACGTCTTGAGAAAGGAAGAAAAGAAAATACGCCGCGTTCCAAAACAAAAGTTAGACTAATGTGGAAAATGCAATATTGGACTCCATGTACAACACTTTGTACAATGATACAGAAGTAGTTCGTAACTGCTACGTTCCCCATATAAGACACATTAAACAAATGCGTTATAAGGTATTTCTCCCGCCTTCCTAGCGCGCCTTCGTGGTGTAGTGTTTCTGCACGCTGGGCCGGTATTCCAGAGTTCCGTGGTTCGATTCCCGGCGAAGGCGATTGCTCATTTTTCATCTTCCCTGCTTCCAAAAAATTCTAATGTCTCCACAGCGTGACTGCTAACAATAACCGCTCTCTTTCTGAGGGAACGGGATAAAAATATGTTCTATCTTTTCATAAACGAAAATTAATTTAAAAATAAAATATGTTTTACGGAATTTGGCAGTTAACGGGTTAATGATTTACGCAGCAACATTTTTCCCATTTGAAGTCGCCTGTGTCAATGCTGCATTACAATCATGACCAATCTGATAACTTAGCTTCGAATCTTAATGGTATAAGACTATAAAGACATAATAAAAATTTGTTTAGTATACCTTCATGTTGATTGTAACTCTATTATCTACAGGTTTAAGTATAGTATGAGGCGTTGTGTGCTTCCTTCTTTTATTTCTTGCAATGATGATGAAAATTACGATGATAAGTAGTAGAATAACAGCTGCCAGAACTCCAATGACGAGACCCACATACTGATTAGTCAGTGTATCTTCGCTCATGGCTGTACTCACTACACACAAAAAATAAATAAATGTATAAGTAAATGAGATGATTGAGCAATATAAAAGAGATATAAAATATTTAGATATTTGTTCCTTTTTCGAAAATCTTTATCTGCATACTAGCTGCTTGCACTGCCAGCTTTCGGTCTGCCATGTGTGATTCGTAAAATTTATATACCAGGGAAAAAATTAGATTAATAAAATGAAAGTGAAAACTTAGCATGAAAAATAATGGAAAACGTATAGCAGAAAATTTCTACAGAAAACCTAATTTCTTGCAAATATAATAAAAGCAAAGATAAAAATGAAATTAATACATATATACATAAAATTAATATTAAAAACATAGAAATTAGTTTGAAGGAAATGAGATAGAAAAAACAAACATAATCTGACTTATAATGACGTCATATATAATGACACATAAAGTGCACGTCCGTCGTAGACCATTCCGGTACTGAATAATGTACTGATACCGGATCTTTTCAATATAATAAAGCGGTAGTCAAAAGTCACTATCATTTAAGCAGGAGGAAAACGAATTCTATCTGAATTTAAAATACCTTCTAGATATTCCAGTGCTGAGTTCATCAATCGACTTCTCCTTATTAAGACTGCGTTAGAAAATCACAAATTTCTTGCTGTTATAATTTGGTCTAAAACGCACTTTTTTTTTCCTCTTAAATTATAACATTTTTCTATATGTACAAATGATTGGCACAATACAGCTAGCAATAAAATATCTATAGATCGAATATCGGCGAGACAAGGTTACATTTGTATACTCCTCGCTCCTAGAAAATTAGTAGTTCCTACAAAATGGCTCATCGATTTGCTCTCTCCAGAAAATGCTCAGACATCAGGAAAAGGTATTCAAAGGTCGAAGAAAACCTGACGTTTGTCGAGTCGAATTATGCCTGCCTGATTTAATTAAAGTATATTTCTAGTTTGTCTAGACTTCAGAAATATTATTTTAAAATAATTTCAAATAACCTTAACCATTTAATAATCATTTAAGAACTTTATGATTCATGAAATAATTTTATATAATCGTGTTTTCCCACTTTGGAAGTCAATATAATATACAATCAACTGTTAAAATTTTGTAATTTTGCAATTCATATTTCATAATTCATAAAATTTGTAATTCATAATTTTGTAGACAATGAATACGAAACATATCAATAGTCAACTTACCAATCGGAGGTGCTGCTGGAGGATCTTCTTCAGTAAAGTTGCCCACGGCAGGAACTAAAAAAGAAGGAAAATTTTAAAAAAATTTCGTGTGAAAATCTGGAAGAAGTCAGCACAATACACATTATAGCAAGAACATATGAAATAAAACACTGCCATTTAAATCTCAATCCATAAGATGCTTATCATGAATATTATTATTTCATTATTATGAATGTGAATTCATACAATTGCATCCATATATGAAATTTTGTGACGGCCATTTTAAGAGTTCTACTGAGAGTTAAGCTTAATTTAAATACTGCCTTATCTTGTATTTGATTCAGCTCACATGTATTCGCAAGATCAAAGGATTAGGCAAATATATTAAAGCATATGTCAAGGAATTTAAAAGCTATGGAAGGATAACGGAAACTCGTACTTTACGTACTACAGAGCTGCCTTACTTTTCGTAAGGACCTGTTCTAAAGAGGTAATATTGGTTGGAAGCCGCACCGCATCCTCATGCCATTCGATATTGGTAGCTGTTCTCTTCTACAGCTTTCAGCTCAGGACAAAATCTATGTAACTTATTTAAAAGACTTCTTTTTGTAAATGTCAAGGCTTAAGTGTTCAGAATAGGTATCTATTAGCAAATGACCTTTACATTGCGCTATTTTAGATCTATCTTTATTTGTAGACCATCCAAAACAAACAAAAAAGACTTTACTGAATTTTTAATCTAAGCTTATGGAAACTGAGTACATTCAGAAAGATAAGTCATTGACGTTTAAAAAGTAACATCTTATATAATCAGTAATACTTTATAATTATTATTTAAGAAGCCTTATAACACTAACTCTTAAATGTTCACTCTTTTTTAATAATAGTTACATATTATTCTTATACGGCTTCGAAAAATACTATTACTAAATCTGATGCCACGTAATTCTTAGAATAGTGATTTCCGGTTTTATTTGTTTCGAGATACACTTAATTAAGCAATAAAAACAATAATGATAAATGTTAATAATAATATTAATTATTATAATTATTAAAAAAATCATTACTATTATTGTTGTTGTGGCTGTCGCTGCTGATATTAAAAACATATCTAGAAGTTCCTTTCAAAAATTTTACAACTGACCGATTTGAAACCCATATATGTAAGCCTTAGTAATTCTTTTAGTTATATATCGGATTGACGTAATTTAAAATGACTTAATTTATTATATATCTTACTAAACATTGTATGAATGCGCTCAGAATTATTGTAAACAAACAAAAAATTCTATTTTTATTAGTATATATTACATACCTGGTATGAAACCTTTTTTCTTTCTCGTCTCAGGTAAATTTTTTTATGTAAAGCAGCACATCGTATTCCCATAAAGAGTATTCATTCATTAATTAATTACTTCTAAGCATGCAGGGTTTATCTACCTACGGCAAGATGCCTTCAGAGGGGAATTTTTAAGGAAAATAGTATGTATTTGCACACAAAGAAACTGTAAGAAACATATAATCAAGCAGTATACCGAGATTTGTATTCACGTTGAGCTTTCAGCTTGTAAAGTCATTCGGTTTTTGGAAGCAGGTGAGATGAAAAATGAGCAACGCCTTCGCCGGGAATCGAACCACTGACCTCTGAAATACGCGCCCAGCATGCAGACCACTACACCACGAAGGCACGCTAAGAAGGCGTGAGAAATACCTTATAAGCTGTTTACTTATTGAAGGACTTTAATAAGAGTATTAATTTCTGTTTGTCGCCAGCCTCATAGCCATAGGTATAGGATTCATAGGCACATGATCGACGCTTCCTAGGGTCGACACCGATATATCATGGATCTATGGATACCGATACACTGATATATCACCGATCTATGGATATAGCGTAAAATCAACTCAAAAATATATGACTAACACTGTAGCGAACTGATATTGGTATGTAATCAATATTAGCGTAACTTACAGAGGGCTTATAATCAACAAATATTATATTTGCACTCAAAAAAGTCGTTTGTCATCATCAGAATAGAATGACAGTCACCAGCACAGAGACATATGCATACGTTTTATGCAACATGGGGTCGACATCGAAACTGCATTGACATAATCTATAGATATAGCATAAGATCAATTGAAGAATATATAACTAACCTTGTGCCGAATTCATACCGGTATATAATCAATATTGGCATAACTTAGAGAAGGCTCTAATTAACAAATATTATATTTGTACTCAAGAAAGTTGTTATGCCACCAGAGCAGAGTGGCCTTCACCAGCAAAGAGCCATAACATGATTGACACAAGATGTGGTCGACATCGATATAGCATTGACATGATCAATAGCATAAGATCAACTCAAGAGTATATGACTAACGCTGTGTCGAATTTATGCCGGCATGCTATCAATACAGGCATACTTTAGAAAATGCTTATAATTAACAAATTCGTATAATAAAAAGGGTGAGTATTTAATATGTTATTATTTTAAGGCACTTGAATAGGATCATCTCCGGCAAAGAACCAGCACCGCCATAGGATAGTAACCGTTTCCGAGTTATCATGTCGACTGCGTGCCGACACGGAAGATGTCGATTCTGTACCACAATCCCAGCAGATACCGCGGAGCTCAGAAAACGAATACTGATCCAAAAGCATTAAACGGTTATTAAAAAGCGATCGATAAGAATCGTGATATCTATGTAAAATAAACTAGCATGTGCAGAAATATTAGCAAGGAATAATATCTATTTTTATTCGCTTTTTTTCTACTTAAATCTTAAAAAGATTATTTCTCTAATATAAACGATTCGTGCAACACATCGGTGACCCCAGAACTGGCTAGTTTCTTCCATGATAACCATATCAAAGGAAACCTATTATTATCTTTTCTCTGTTTATTACATCGAAGACTTAAGAGATAATACAAGTCGCCCGCAAGTCTCGAAGATAATTAGCGAAATAATTAGCAGCTTACTTCGAAATATAAAAAACAACTCTTTCTGTCGGAAATTTTCCCAAAAAGTAGATTTTAAATACCCCCCACTTAGAGTAAAGGCGATTTTCAACAACAAGCGGAAGGCCCAACTAATGAGCATTTGAAGATACCGCCGTTGGCTGTCTCTTCAACTATGACAACCGTCTCAATTTCTTACTAACATTCCTTATTAAACAACAGCTCATTAGCTGCTGCGAAAGTTTTCTAAAGGAAAACGACCATTTAATTATGGGAATGGAGACCATGAGCTATTACCTAATGCGTTTCTAAATATGGCAGAGTGCTTCAGCAAACATTTTTGACTTTGCAGTGTCTGTTTACATCTTGTACTGGGAGTTCAGAGACACTGTATTTGTGGCGCCGTCACTTTAATTGATTTGTTATTATGTCGGTGTCGTTGAGCTTTTGAAACTGAGCCCAAACGAATAAAGAAGAGCTGGGTGGAATTTACGAAAGATCTTTAATGACTTGCTCAAAAATGAGACTGCCACTTCGAAAGAAACCGTAAGCACGACAAAGGAAATCAAGAATTAATGAATTAGTTTTGATGGGACGTTGGACTTGCTTTGATGTTTGCATAAATTGCCACTAACATGTGTCATTCACATGAATTCAAAACTACACATTGCTAATCTTATTTCAAAGAACAAAAGTTTGTCTCTAAATGTCAATTAAATTTATGTCTTGTTAAGTTAAATGCTTGATCTTATTTTCCTTTGCTAGGTCCAATAATTACCAGCTCGTTGGGTACTCAACTCGGCTTTATTCATGCAAAATGAAGAAGTCTAAATATTTTCTAGTTTGGTTGGTAGCAGAGAGTTTGTGACGCTTTTTTTTATCTTAGTCTAAATAGAGATGGGGAGAATTCTAAATTCTTTATAATCCCAATCCCAATGATAAAAGACTGTCGAATTCTTCATTTAAGTGCAAAGTCTATAGATTATAATAAATAATTTTAAGAAGTTCCAGCATACCGGCCAAAAGATAATTGACAGCATTTAATACTATGAGGTGTCAATTTATATTTCCTAAAATATCGTCTACTTCCGTACAGAACTTTCTCTGCAGTTAATTGCTTGCTTTGATTCAGTGGCATCTGTTGTCATAGATTCGAATGTTCCGAAAAGAATAGCAATAATGTTTGTATGGGATAATTGCCTTCTCTTGTGCATTCTTTTGTGGTATAAAAGACTGAAGTCCAGTTAGCTAGAGGAAGATCTGTAGCTCGAAATCCCAAGATGAACATAATTGATTTCTGTATGTCTCCTACTGTATAGATGTCTAATAACTCTATAAGTTTCGCTGCAAAGCAGAAAAAACAGCAACGGAGAAGAATGAAATTTTGTAATAAGTATACGATGATCAAGCATTAATATCATCCAAAGCTGATCATTGGTACAAATGATTTCGCGACGGATGCGAAGATGTAGTGATGAACCCATGAGTGGTCGACCTTCTCGGCTTCAAACGAATGTGACCCTCGAAAGGTTTAACAATTATCGCTAAAACTCATTATTAGCCCCTTCAAATAATAGCTAGCTAATGAGCTTAGTATTAGCAGGAAGGCTACTCTAAAAATTCCTGTGGGGCCATCTTTGAAATAAATATTTATTCTGCTCTGTGACAATGTGGCATCACATAATTCCATTCTCAAGAAATAGGGACTAGGAAAGAAAATGCCACAGTTCTCAAACACACTCCTCATTGGTATCTCCATAACAGTCTTCCTTACAGTAAATTTTATTCTTAAAAGTTCATTATTCTCAGAATACTGAAGATATTTAGAGGTAGCAGGAGATTTAAACAGTATTCCAGAAGATGAGTTTTATAAAGCAATCAAACAGCTATGAGCCAAGCATTACAAAGACTGTACACTTAAAAGTATAACTTACTAATTGTATTCTTTCAAATTCCAAATCACTTGAATCCTTTACATAAAAATAGTATATGAAAGGGGAAATTTTTCATTTCAAAAGGTATTTCTCCCACCTTCGTGGTGTAGTGATTCTGCACGCTGGGCCGGTATTCCAGAGGTCTGTGGTTCCATTCCCGGCGAAGACAATTGCTCCT